GACTGCGAAGGAGATCAACCTTTTTCATCCAGGGTCCAGAAGCGCAAAGAATGTCAGCATGGGAGGCAACAGCTGCACGTGCTCGCCCTAACATTTCTTGTGCCTGCTGCGAGGGGCTCTCAAAGAAATTGAAGCTCACCCCTAATACCTTGATTGATTCAAGGCGGCCAGAGACAGAAAAGGATTCACCACCAACTTCGGCCCGTCGGGGTCCAACATAGTTGCGACTGGCAATGATCTTGGTTTTGCTGGTGGCAAGTTTGAGACCCGCCTGAGCGAGACAGCGATCCACAACTCGGATGCGTCGTACGAGTCTGCCAAGCTGACAGTCAACCAAGAAGATGTCATCCTGGTAGAAGAGCAAGTCCACATCAAAGTCTTCAGCCAGTCCACCCAATTTCTTCCAAGACGCGCATTCCACCAAGTCGGAGAGCATGGAGTCAATCAGGATGCCAAACAATTCGGCGCTCTCCGGAGCACCCTGTTTAATGCCGGTATTGGGATGAAGACGTACACGGCCACCTCCAGGGACACGTCCTTCAAGACAATGAGAATGAAGCTGACCAAGGAGATAGCGTAGTTCAGAACTTCTCCCCTTGTTCCGGAGGCGATCTATCAAGAGACTGGCCATCTTGCGTCGATCAACTCTATCAAAGGCGCCTGCGACGTCCAATTTGCAGACCAATGCGGGCATTCGCCATTCATGGATAACATCCCGGATGCGAGACATGCCACCTATGAGATCGGCTGCTTGGCGACCTCTCCCGCACGCAGAAATCTTGGACCCACGTCTAAGCAAAGGAAGAGTGCGAGCACAAACCAGGCGGTTGACCAGTTTGTTGAAGGCTGAGCTGACGCAGATCGGCCTCAGATCATTTGGTTTCAATGGATGTGCACACTTGGCCAATAAAGCGAGGAAACTGACATTCCAGATTTCAGGCGTTTCCTGAGTCTCCACAATGTGGTTGATGAGATGCAGCAGTTGCTCACCCAGGGTCTCGTGGGTAGACATCTCCCTCAGCAGGTGTACACTGATGCCATCTGGCCCAACAGCACTTCGACACTTCATTTGCTGAAGTTCAGTGCGGACATCCTGAAGAGTAAACCCGACAAAGTCGTCCCTAGACGGCAGATCACAGATGAGATGATCCAAGTCTACATCCCAATCCTCCAACTCCGGACAGACCATCTTTTCAGAGAGATGCGCCTGGACTTCCTCCGTGACAGCGGCAGAAGATTTCCCATCGAGCATGCCACCCCACCATCCACGGCGCTTCTTCTTCTCATTTTGTAGGACTCGAAATTCATCCCACCCGCCTAACAAGATGCGCGACAATCTTCGTTCCTCCCAAGCATGGCGATCTCGACGACGAAGACGATGAACTTGCTTCCAGCATGCCTTCGAGTTGGAGACTCTGGCATCCTTGATTGCACGCTTCGTCTCATCACTGTCACGATAACGTTGCGAGGCCCTCGGTTTGGTGTACTTTCTGGCAAGTTCAGCAACATCAGCATCATCAACAATCGTGACATCCGGAAGTTCATGGTGGACCCAACGTGCTCTGGAATCATTTCCCCATTGTTTATCGGGAGTTGCTGCACACACGGTAATTTCAGTATGGAGGAGAGCATGATCGGAGTTGATCGTGTATCTCCGCTCAGGGTCAATGTGCACTGTGCCAAGTCTAAGGTCTTTGCCCAGGAAGAGATCAATCTGGCGACCTTCACGAGTTTCATCCCGAGGGTAGTGAGTGGGAGTATTCTTCTGGGACTTGACAGGAGCAATAGCGAAACAACCTCGTTTGCCAGCCTCATCAAGGAGTACGTTTAAGTTCTCCGAACAATGCCCAATCTCAAGCTCTTCAGACCTTTCATGTTCAGCCCAGCACAACTCTTCATTGGCATCAACACCACAGACCAGCGGGTATTTCCGCCACTCAGCAGGAAGAAGTGCAAAGAATTCCCCCACAGCAGACTGGTAGCGGGAGTTGGTGACCCCCGTGAAGCAATGGATAGACCCGCAGACGATTCTTCCAAGTCCATGTACTCTGGCGAGAATCCACACTCCTCGAGAAGAAGCGACTTTCCGAATGACACAGTCGAACCGATCTTTGGCGATTCCAACCGCGGTACCTCTCCACTGGTCTCGATGGCGATGGACTATCCAATGATATTCATCAGTTTCCATGCCATCCCAGCCTTCTTTGCCTCGAGAAACTTCCTGTACAAGTAGAACATCAGCATCCGCCACCGCAACATCCAGCATCTTTAAGGACTGGCCACCAAGGTTCCAGCAACAGACACGTCCCCAACGATGTATTGCACACGATGAGTCCTTTCCGTCCATGCCGGTGCATCTCTTAGAGAAAACATCCCTGGAAGCAGAAGAAATTCTTCCCAATGGCGGTTCATCTTGGGTGAAACCTTCGCCCTCCTGTCACAGCTCCTTCTCAAAAGCAGACTTTGCTTCATCAACAGTACAGCCTGTGATTTCCGCAACGGCTTCAAGGGCGACCCAGCCTGAGGAGAGGAGCACGAACTCACCGTCCTTGGGTGCCTTGTGGGTGGCGCTCGCCAATTTATGGTTGCCACTCCATATAGTACCCATGTTCCAGTCGCAGTCATGCGCCGTGTGCTGGGTGCTGGTGATGTTTTTAATTCCTCCCTCGGTATTCTTGGCTGACATGGCAAGCTCACAGCACTGAACTAGAGACCGTGCCAACTGAAAAGTTGACTCTTGGGCGTGAGCACACTCTTCGCGTCAAGGAAACTAAAGAGCTTTTCGCCCGTGCCGCTTTGGTTTTCACAAAGCTCGCCCACATGTTCTTCGGCTCGCCCATTTCCTTTGTACTGGCCAGCTCAAATTTACTGTTCGCAACAAGTTTAATGACACCCCACATTCGATTCTTGACTTCCGTAAAGGATTCACCCTCTCGCTGCTGGAACTTGAGCATGCCAACGGATCTGCGGGGACCATAGATTGCAAGCTTCTCCACATCGATCAGCTCCTTGATGCCCTCCAAGTTGAACAACACCCCACTTTCTGCTTCAATGATCGCCCTTTTTGTGTCGCGTGCCCAGCCACCAACCACGAGTGTCCTTTTTTCGTCTTCCGAGAGAGAATCGCCGGCACGATCACCTTGAAGGTCACCCCGAGGAATGGCCCCACCTGCATCCGCATCCTTACCTCCTTTGTGTCGAAGGTACTCAGCCCAAGGGTCAGCATGTCCTGGAACAACAGCGGGACGTGAAGCTCCATGTTGTGGTAGCCCATCGCTTACGGGGATCAGTGGCGGAGGTTTCTTCTGAAGGTCGTCAATCTGAACTTTCATCTTCTTGACGTCTTCGGTGAGGTCCTCGAGGCACTTGGTGGTCTTCTCCTGCTGACGACCCATGCTCGACGAACTCCTTTCAAGCGCGTGGGTCCTGGTCCGAAGGTTGATCATTTCATGGCCGTGTTGGAGTTGTTCTGCCTCGACACGATCAAGTCGTCCTTGGAATGAACGCCAAGCATCCTTCATCTCGTTGACATGGCCAAACAATAGTTCTCGTATCTCGTGGGCGCTGAGCGGTGCGTCTCCATGAAGAGGACGTTTAGAGGGGCTATCAAGATCAGAGTCATCGTCTTCATCGTCAACCACCGGTACAACACTTCCATCAACTGCAGCCTCCCGTCTGCGCCCCTTCCGTTCACGCTTGCGCTTCTCCTGCTTGACTTCAAGTTGCATTGCCATGGGGACCTTGTCTTCCGGTTCGGACTCAGCAATCTCGGTGGGGGACCCCTTCTCGGGGGCGGGCATGTTCTCATCAACCACCATGGGGCCCTCCATCGTAGAAGAGCAGCGTCACGAAAAGCGAGCTCGGTAGAGAAGTACACCCTGACAGAGTGAAGAGACGATTCCAACCAAACTCGTCCAGATAGTGCAGCAGAGACGAATCCAACCAAACTCGCCCAAATAGTGCAGCAACAGGACCAACTCGCCCGGGAAGGAAGATCAGCCCAAAGAGGTCTACGACAGTGCAACCCTCACGTCCCACTCAAGGCGTCCAACGTCCAACAACGAACCTGTAAGAGACAATGAGGTTCTGGCCGCCAGTTCTCGACGTCGCCCCCGAGGATGACAAATGTTCTTGTAGAAGAGAAGGAGGGACTGGCCGGCAGATCTCACCCTCAAGGTCAGCTCGAGGAGAGAGCCCCGCGGAGCACAGACAATGATGCGATGGGGCAAGGGACTCCGAGAAGGGCACTCAACAAGGATTCGGGCCAACAGCTTGAGCAGGGAGTTTAGGGCGTGGGGTTTAGGGGTTTAGAGGGCCTATGGGCGTAACAGAGCTTTGCCGGGTGTAAGGACTATATTAGGAAGTCGTATGTAGGGTTGGGGCTTAGGGCTGAGGGCTTTTCAGAGTTTTGCTTTCGATGGGCGCATGGTTCTTACACGCTGTTGCTGACTGGGGCCTGCTCAGGTGGTCAGGTTGTGAGGAGATGTTGGAGGGCTTAGGGATGCTGGTCGTCTGGTTGATTATTGGGGATTCCCGTGATCTAACCAAGTCCATCTGAGGAAGTTCTATATGCAACTGGCCTGAAAGAGGCTCTTACGACCTGACCATCAAAGTAGGGTTTGAGTGCGTCCGTCCACATGTACACGTCCTGACTGCGGAACACCACCATTGCTGCCTTTAGCAACTAGGGTCTTTCAGGCTTAGAACTATACCTTGGGTACTGCCCCCCATACAGTAACAGTCTACAACAGGGCTACTATGAAGGGCAATATTATCTAACTGTTATTAACTGTTACTGAGTGGGGGCAGTACCCAAACTACACCTGCAGGCCCGCCAACCCTGAACCTCGACTTCACCCCTCGAGGTTCTACCCAGCACCAGTTCTCGACAACGTTGTCCCACACACGAAATTTATGCCTCAACATCACCGAACGCCCTGACCCCTAAACCCTAACGCCACGAACCCCAACCCTGAACATATGTCGCACTGCCGTGCATCTTCCTGTCAATTCTTTGTACGGCTCCTTCCCAAGCATGGACGGCATCCTGTTTGGGGCCGGCGTGACGCGTAAGGCTTTGGACTAGGATTTAGAGTTCACGGCTGGGAGTTTATGGCTATTCGCGATAAAAACCCTAAACCCTAAGATCCTAAGACCTAAACCCTAAACCCTAGACCCTCAGACCAAACCGTAAACATTGGCATTTGTTTCACTAATTAAGGTCTTCGACTTCGGAACGAGAGCTTCCGGAGTTCGGTGGTTTGTTATCCGTGTTTGCTTCTTTGGGTTTAAGTGTTTTTTGGTGGTTTTATGTTTTTTGTGTGAGCCTAAACCCCAATTTCCAAACCTCCACCCCAGACTCCGGAGGTTGCAGGGTTTGGCTTTGCGCAAAGAGCTCATCAAGGAAATTCCTCCCCGCAGGAGGTAAGCACACGGCGTATCGCTTTGGGTTTGGTGTTTAGGAGTATTGCCCGATACACAATACACCCAACACATCCCCAAGAGCCTTGTAATTGATTCGCCTTGATGCAGATGACCATGTTTATGATTCAAGCGATGCTGGCGATTGTCATTCTTATAATTATTGCCATTGCTCAGGGCCAGTCTCTCTGCGCTGCATGCACACCTGGCCTCCAGCTGATTGCAGCTTAGCATTGACCTGAGCTGCTTGCGACAGCAATCTCCAATAATGGTTTAGCTTGAACTACCCAAAAACTATGTTTGTTAGGGTCCTGTAAAATCTACAGTAATTAGGGTTTATAGTAAGAACCTACATGCAACTAGGTTCTAGTAGTTTGAGGGAACTTACGGAATCTTCAATGTCGGAGGTAGACCAGACAAATGTGCTCGACACAGCATCCCTAAACTCATAAACAAGACTTGCTGAATATCCCCGAAGGTCATGTAGTCTACACTGGGGTTCAAAACTAGCCATAAGGAACTCCCTTAAAGCCTAAGCATTTTGTGGCAGGTGCAGGGACCCATGCTGAAAATGGCAGAGTTACTGCGCGAAGGTGACGTACGCATCTGGCTTCTTCGAGTCCAGCTTCACCGCCGAATGGAAACTGTCCCGGACCTGTGGCAAAGTCGAAGGAGGTAGTGTTTCAGGATTTAGGGGTTCAGGGCTGTTGAAATTGGTTTGTGGCAAAGGGAGTAAGGTTTGGCTTAGGGGCTCAGGGATGATTCTCTAAAGTTGCAAGCTCAGTTGTTTCTGGTTTAGGCCAAGCGCTTCGACCCTCCGCCCATCCTATGCCCACAAAGGGTTCTTATTGCGTTGCCGTTGTTGTTGTTGTTGTTGTTGCTGTTTTTGCCCACTCCCTTCTCTGCCTTCAGCCGTGCAGCTCGCACTGGGAACTTTCTCAACTTCACACAGGTGACCTCTTGAGAACTGGCAAACACATCTAGCATCTAGCCGGAGGGTAACCTGAACTGCCTTAGAAGCCTTACACTTATGCATGAACCCCTGCACCCTGCGGGCAGCCCTTTTCAGAGGCCAAAATTAAGCGGCCAGAGGCTTTTCAGGGACCTTACCTATCGAACTAAATAGAAACTGAGCTTGGATCTAAGAGCGGTTCCCTTTTGGGGTCGTCGCTATACAGTTTTACTACTCTGTTGGAGATCTAAATACCAGGAATCCGATCCGAATAAACCCTAAACCTTACCAAGCCTATAATATCCATTAACGCTCCTTTTGGGATCGCCTTGGCTTTCATATAGGATCCTACCAAGAAGTGGTTAACCCGAAAACCGAACTACGATGGACAGAAAGGTTCGGGGCCCGAAACGATCCCGCCTCGTTCAACGTCCGAAGAGCCTGTGGAACACTGAGTGCTAGTATTGTTGATTATACCTGATATCACGGTCACTCATTGTCATTCTTATTATTGTTCTTGCGATGCTTAGTATGACTCTTATTGGTATCAGCGGCACTATCAACATCATGATTCTGATTCTAGCTGTAGGGGTTTCAGGGTTGGCCTAGGCTCCCGACCGGTGGAACTCAGGGCTTCATGGTGTAGGGTCCAGGGTTCCTTGCTTTACGGGTTTTGGGTGTGGAGTTAAGAAACCCTAAATCCCAGGAATATAGATCCATGCAAAGCCTAGAGTTTGTCGGCAGTTTCGAAGGGTCGTAGTGTGTCCAGTTTTGGGGATTAGGTGTGTTCGGGTTTGAATGTTCAAGGTTGGGAGGCTTCGGTACTTTATCCTGCACTGAAGCCTGACTTGTCCAGTATCCTAGGCGCTCTAAAAGCTAACCTTTGGCGTTTTATAAGGGTTCTGGCGCCCGAAGAAAGAATAGCCGGCTCTGATACTAAGAAAGTCTGACAGTCACGGAAAGCAATGTGACAAGAGCTTGGCTCAACTAGGCCGAAAAGCCTTAAAATATGAGTCGTTAGAGCCTTAGGATTCGGGTTTATGTTCGGCATGAAGCGGACAGCGAGCTATGCACTCCAGGGTTTAAGGGCTAGACTTTTGAAGTCAGGGGGCTGCGGGCGAAAGGTTTCTGGTTTGGGGGGGTTAGGGTTTTAGGTTTAGAGATTTGGGGTGTAGTGAGTCACCGAATCCCAAAGACCTCAAAGATTTCCGGAAACCTGAGCGCATGAAGCAGTACCTAGGCTACGAACAAGCTCAAAGAGTTACCCTTAATCTCCCTATAAGCCCTGTGCCCCAACCCCTTAATCATCAACACATACACCCTGTAAACCCTAAGCCGTACGCCATAAACCCCGAAATCCCTGAAGCCAAAGAACCCTCAAGCCTCCTAAAACCATGGTAAAAGTCTAAACACAGATTTCAAAACTCCCAACCCATAGTAGTGACCAACATCGAAACCCTCAAGCCTGAGGCAACAATTTGTCTGACCGGTGTTTCAGCAGTAGCAGGAGCTTTGACGGCTTGGAGTTTTAGGATGCAAGCGTAGGGAACTCTTGGGATTTAGAAATTCTGGGGATTTAGCATTTGGGGGTTTAGATTCAGGATTTTTGGGTTTAGGGCTTGAGCTTCGGGGGGGGGGGGTGGTCTAGGGCTTAAAGTTTGCAGTTTCGCAGCCAGCTTGAAGAGTCGGACCTAGTCCCGCTTTCTTTTCGCGTTTCTATTTTCTGCCGGGACCAACCCCAAAAGTCCTGAACCAAACAAATCCTAAACCCCAAATCCCCAGACACCGCTAAGATGCTGCCCTCACGCCTTTGCCGTCTCTCCAGAGCGGTGTAAGGCAATGGCATCGGAAGTTCCTCGGATTGGAGAACGGAGACCGAGGCTGAATCGCAAACCCTACACCGCTTGCGGCTTAGGGCTTGGGGCCAGGGTTTAAGGCTTGTAACAGGTTAGGGCATTACGTGTTAGTGTTTACAAGGCTTTGCTTTCCTAACTCCGGGGCCCCCAGTCCTTGTTGAAACTCAGTGGGGATCTCAAGCTGAGTTGAAGGTAAAGCTCTTCGGTTGCAAGTTTAAGCAAATCCAGAAACTGAAACACTGAACTGCAGAACCCAAAGCTCACAAGGGAGTAAGGCATGCCAGAAACCCAAGCACAATGGGTTAGTTTATATAGAGCTTTGGGGATCATGTCCACCAAAGTCCCGTAAGTCAAGGGCTATTCAGAAAATCACCTTAAGGATCCCTCTATAAATTCAGGTGTATTGTACATTGCTTAACAAGAGCATTGTAAGGTTTGTGATAGTCCACTTGGGCACTTAGGCTTCAGGTTGTCACTTAATAAAGTGACAACCTTAGAGAACCCTGGCACTTGCCGGCACACTGGTGCGTCATGAACAAGAATAGACAGGATGCTGCAGGGCACTATGCTCGAATTCCGGCATACTGCGGTTGAACAAGTCGGCGCGACATCGGGAAAACACGACTCCATGTAACAGACCCTGGAAGAATGCTTGGGATGAACTGCCAGGCTGGGCTAGGCTTTGATTATAGGGGCCGCAATTATTAGAATAGGGTTTGGGGGGGTCAATATACTGGCCCCGACATTATTCGTTTGCTGTTCAGCTGTTGCAAAAATTAAGTCTTAGCTTCCCGCGCTTCGCTCTTGTAGCCTGTGCATTGAAGCCTACTTGGAGGACCATGGGACTTAGTAAGTAAGGTTACAAGTACCCTAATTGGAGTTATAAGTATGGTTACCTTATTTATAACCGTAGTTACTAAGTCCCATGATCCTCCAAGTACATGCCCAGTCAGCCGAGGAGCCGCACCTGATAACATAAAGCCCCAGGTCGCAATCAAGCGTCTATCGAGGCACTCCAAGCCCTAAATCCTACTTGAAGGCTCATGGGACTTAGTAAGTAGGTTCTAATTGGGGTTTATAAGTCCCCTAGCCTTGGGAAAGAGCCGTTGCGAGCATCAAAAAGAGAACCCAATTGAGTTCCCTAAGTGGGGTTATCCTAATTATAACCTACTTATAACCTTACTTACTAAGTCCCATGAGCCTTCAAGTAGACATGTACCATAGGATCGTACAACTTACCAATAACATTGAAGAATGAAGTACAACATGCTGTAATACTGTACAACATAGTAGAAACAGTATAAAACGGCAAAACAAGAAGTGACATAACATAGTCTAGCATGATCTAATACTACAGACTGCGGGCGAGCCACGTTTTTCGATCCTGTCGATGTAGTCGTTGTAAGATCCTCCTGCCACATAGGTCATGGATTCAAGGCTTCGGGTCAGGGGGTTTTGCGTTCTCGAAATCCTCGGTTTAAGCTGTAAAAGATACTAACCCCCAACCCTAAACCCTGACACGTATAGAATCATGCGATTCTCTTCCTGTCCTAAAGCCCTCGACCTATTGTCTTCGTTCGAAAGATAGCATGGCTTTGGCCCTGGCACCTCCTGCTACGAGCACTGATACCCAACTCTCCGGATTAAAGTTGTGGAGGTGAGAGTTTCCGAAACTAGGGGACCCTAATGTAGTACCCTTTATAGTAGGATCCTTCTTATAAAGACTCCCGAAAAAGGTACCCCTAATTTCGGAAACTCCCAGGTGGGCTGAGACCAGGCAAGCGAAACTGAAGAGGTGTCTGTCGGAGCAGTCCTTCGGCGGGCCAGGCGACGAAGAGGAGCAACCAGCGAACCATAGCACGAAAAAGATTGGCTTCTTTATAAATCCTAAACCCTGAACCCTACACCCTAAATACTTCCACCTTCAACTCAATATAGACCCTGACCCTACACCCTAAACCTAAATACTTGCACCTTCCACGCAGATCAACCTGAAGGACTTTGGAAATGGGCCGCACCCTGGACAGCCGCAGCATGCGGAGCTTGGTATGGAAATGCTGTTGAGTCGCGAAGATGTGCAGACAAACACCTAACATAGGGCCCTTAATAATTAGAATAGGGTGTGGGGGCCCAATATTCTATGCTTCTAATAAGAAACCCGCATGATAGTACAGGTAATTAACATAATACATGCAGCTGCAGCAACCGTAACTTTGCGAAGTGGAACGGGGTCAGAAGCAACAAGAAAAGCCAACAGGAGGAGCACAGACCCAAAACCCCCGCACTCCCTGAAACCCTAAACGTGATTCGCCGCATTTGTTGCCCGAAGCTCAGCCGCAGGTACAGTAGTGCATCACTGCCAGCTTCGTTGGCCAAGTTCTGCACAACCGGAACCAAAATGCAGAGAGCAGTCAGGTGTGGGAGTCTGCCAAGCTGAGCGGCTTCTATGTGTAAATATGACGTTCAGGTCAGGGCTTAGGGGCTTCAGGAAAGGATGAATTCCGATGCCTTTCATCACACAGCCCCCTCTCCACCCGAAACAAACTCACTAACCCTAAATCCCACAAGTATAATACATGCAAGTCGTCGTAAGCTTGAAGCAGGGATGCTTTGAGGAACGACGTGTGCCGTGCCTCGAGCCCAGACTCGAAACCACGAGAGGCCACATGTAATAAGCAAACTAAATACATGAACTGAACAGGTAACCGAATAAGTGGATGAATGACAACATGTAAGTGCATGTGTACAGATATGTGTATATACAAACACAAACGAACCAGCAAAGGAAACCACACAATTCCATCAGTAAATAATCTGTGTATATATATATATATACACACATACACATCATACACATACATAGATATATCCACACAAACATGAACATATACACACTTAGAAAGTTACACACGCATACACACACACATATATATATATATATATATATGTACATACATACATATATATATATATATATATGTATATATACAGACAGACAGACAGACAGACACAGACAGACAGACAGACAGACAGACACACAGACAGACACACAGACAGACACACACACACACACACACACATATAGTCATATGCATACAAACATTTGTACATACATACGTACATACATAGATACAAAGACAACATATATACACACGTACATACATCCATGCAGGCGGACGGACAGGCAAGCAGGCAGGCAGACATACAACACAGTGTCCACACAAATACTTAAATCAGGATACATATATACATACAAATATTTGCACATATGATGTGGAGTTACATGCGTATTATGTGTTTATACCTGTATATCCATATAAATATATATGATACATACCGAAAAATGGCGGAGGTAGATCATGTGGGGGCGTATATATATATATATATATATACATGTATATTCACGGTTTGATCATGAGCTGGCTCCCCTCAAGCACGATGAGCTTCAGCTCCTGACTGCTCTCAGCCGCAGCCGAATTTAGGATAAAACCGCACTATCCCCCTGCAGAATGTGATTTCTGAGCAACCTTTGCCAGCACAAACAACGGCATGACACAGCGTCACACTAAATCTGTACGGGGGTCATAAGAGAAACCTGAACCGAAAGGGCGCAAATCCCTTAAGATGACAACAACAGAACAAAACCTTCACGCGGAGGCTCATGGAGATTGTAGGCAAGCCAAGGAGCAGCAAAGTGCAGATCATC